CCATTTACCTCATTTTGTCCAAAGCAGTATAATCGAAGATAACGATGGTAATTGTTTGATTGAACGATTGAAATTAAATTTCAAATTAAAATACATTTATAGAAAAGTAGGTAAGAAAAAGAAAATTTTGATAACGATAAGCGATACTAGATGATTCAAGTAATCAAGATTCTTCAGAACCAAGCGCCTCAATATTTAAGGAGAAAGGAATCTTCCTTCAGAAGGCACATCTAGTACGTCACGTCGGAATTACACAAACTAATTTTGTATTTCATATTTTTTATGTAAATTTTATAAATAAAAGCAAGCGAATAATTGAATTCCAAACTTGTAATACTATGTAATATAATTTTTTTGAACCAATATACAATAACTCAGTAGTTTCAGAGCAGGGTGAACGCTATATAATAGTTTGTAAATTTGAATTATGCTTATTTACACAACACAAGTTACATTTCTATGTGTGGATTTTGCGAAACTGGTATTGTTTTATAAATATTACCTAACTTGGAGTGAGAGTTGTGGAACGGATCCATTTAAATGTGATGCTCTGTAGCCAAAGGATATACCGGTGTAATTAACGTGTTTGTTTATTAAAAGTAGTAAAAAAGTAAGCGAAATACATGGTTAAATAACGATAATTACAGTAACTTGAGATTACATGACATGACAGATCAATGATTGAACTAAACGAACACAGTAGCATAACGAACCATCATTCTAATTTAATTCATTCCAACATATACACTTTATATATTTAAGCTTACTAATTAGTTAAGAACCGTCATCAAAATTAAAAAAAAATTAAAATAAATCACTTTTGATTTAATCACCAATCGCAAAACTTCGTAATAAGGTTTATTGGCACTATCACCCCGCACGTTGCAGGTAATCAAATGTTTTTGTTATCTGGTTATTGATCATATATTGGCAGCGCCATTAGTTCATAATGTTAACGAAGACATTTTGCAATCTACGTTGAGAGCGTATTTGTGAAGGTAATCTAATCCTAAGGAAACGCTTATATTCACGACTTGTATTTCATGGTTTATTATTTGTTGTTTATCTATATTACATTCAAATTTTATGCCGTCAAATTTATAGTTTCATTCAGTTTCTCTACATATTGGAACATTGAATAAATTCTTAATATTTTTCGAAAGTGGCCGTAATTAATATTATAGGACTTTTGCATTTGAATATACTATCTTGAAGCTTTACGCAATAGCACAAGTTATCTCAGGAAGTTTACAGGCCACAATTTTTGGGATGTTTGAGCAGCTCGAGCTGTGTGTCGAATGTCGTAACTTCTACTGTTTAGTTTGAAGGATACCATTCCTGAATCTTTACGGTTGATGAAAAATGCATGCAGCCTAGGTGAACCAATAATGTCGCCAATGAAGACGAATATCCGTAGGGATTCCATTTGAAAGTTTGCCTAGGTGTATCATGGTTTCTTCCAACCAAATGAAACCGTCTCTAGGGAACATTGTCAACAACAACTAATTAAATTAACGGTTCTAGAAGCGAAGTTAGGCTCTTAAGCGGAACTGAAGTTAATCAGGTGAAATCTCTTCGATTTCTTTGTAGAATTTTGAAAGTCATCCTGAGTTTTCCTGGGCATTATGATAAAGCCGTCAAAGATTATCAATCTGTATGCAATACCATTATACTTGTGACTAAAAATCAGCCAGGTTTGTCTCCAAGAAAAGCTTCGACTGTGTACAAAGCTATAGTGAGGCTCAAAATTGAATTCTTACATTCTACATCTTCAAATTTTCCAAAATATCTTGAGAAAGCTATACAAACATTTGAAAATAGAATGTTAAAACGTTGTACTGGACTGACCCCCTCAACTCCTCAACATATCCTCAATGCCATTTCTGGTGAAAGGCCCGTTTCCGAAAGAGCTCTCTTTTGTACTGCTAAGTAGTTAACTAAGGTCAAGATAATGAATTTTTTCTTTCCGCAGAAAGTTATGTCTCTCAGCTACAGCTACTAGTTGTCTCTTGAAGCTACACATTTTATCAAAAACTCCATCATATTTTTGACAAGATAAATTCAATCTCTCTCTGAATTTTTGTTCCCAATAAATGTAGAGCCATCATGAACATCTTTGAATTGACTTAAGCTATCATGGTTTTTATACCCACCATTCTAAGATGGAGGTATACTTATTCTGTGTTTTTACCAAAAAGAAGCTTCAAAGACCCTCTAAAGTATATGTATTCTTGATCAACGTGAAATTCTAACTTGATTTAGCCATGCCCATCCGTCTGTGTGTCTGTGTGTTGTTGGCACTCTCCTGGTCGCAAAAATGAAGATATCGACTTTAAATTTGGTAGAAACATTGGAAGATTCTGCACACATTGATATTGAAAATGGGCTAAATTGGTCAGAGCGGAAGCGTGCAGTGAAGCGAAAACTGAACGCAAATCCGTTTTTTTAACAAAAATTTTTAGCTGTTTGTTCTTCGGAAATTATAAAAGTTAGAAGACTGAAATTTTCCACATGTACTTTACGAAGCACTCTCCTCCTTACGTTCAAAAATGGAAAGCATCTGCCGTGCCCACATAAAGTTACAAGTGATTAAATTCTGTTCTTTTCACTTTTTTGAGGTTTTATGCTTATTTATCATAAGGCAAACAAGACCAAATGCTTACAATCATTTTGTACACTCCTTAAATGAAGATACATAATCTGCTTAAGAATGGGTTAATTTTAAAATGAATATGACAGACACCGTGATTACTTTTTTTTAATAATACAAGCAACATGGTTATCAAATAAAAGAACCTAGAGAGTAGAATGCGAAAAACATAGTGGTGGGTACGCGAGATTTGGTCCCCGCCGAATAAAACTTTCTTACTTGTTTCTTTCGTGTTTTATATGCATTATTTGTTAGTAATTAATGCTGTTTACTATCTGAACATATAAGCCACAAATTCGATTGTCTTGGTCCATCTTAACTCAACATCCAAAACAAAAAACAGAAAAAGTCAATGAATGTTATTATTGATTTTTTTTATTTTTTTTGGCTCTACTCCTTTAGCAAATGATGCTTTTTTGCTTTAGTATATTGGTTTTTTATCCTCCAATTGTTGTTCAGACTGTCATGTTAGTGTCTCAAACAAGACGCTTTCTAATCTTGATATGTTTGACAGTATTGCTCTTTTGGTCAACTTTAATCGATTTTTTATAATTACTTCCCTTCAATATTGTCGTTGATTTTTCTGAGGCTTTATCCTTACTCATTTTAGGTCTTCTACGTTGAATATCTTGAGTATCACAGAGCTCTTACTTAAGCGTTATTTGAAGGAATTCAAGCATATTGTATTAGTTCGAGTTAGTTGGGTGTTAACCTCAAATAAAATTAGACAGATTGCCTAATTCGCTTGCTTTGCTTGTCAATTCACAGAGCTTAAACTACAATAACTTTTTGCTGACACTATAAAAATGATTTATTTTGTGTGTATTCATTTTATAAAACAGGTGGACAAGCCATTTTAAGTTTTGGAAAGAGAAAAATAATGCAAAATGTTTCCTTTTCTCTACTCTCTGGAGATATTCGGGAAAATTTTTAGTTAATTCAATCCGTTATTTTTAAAATTCATGAAGTAAAAGTATATATGTATATATATATAACCTATATATATATAGCACGTGTGGCTCGCGTCTAATCCTAAACTTCATCTAGAATTATCCACGCTAAATGCTTGTTTGTAACCTTTTTATGTAACCTTATCGTCATAAAAAAAAAAGGCCGACAGACGTACTTGCCTGAGTCAAGTGGAAATTTTATGACAATCAATAATGTACTTACTAAATACCTATCGTATGATCAAATAAATGGTAAAAGCAAATAAGGTGAAAATGATTTTTCTAAACTAATTTGATGGGGAATTTCAGATATCTAAACCCTAACCAAAATCTTTGAAAATTACGATGTCTTATAATTCAGGAAGTATGGGCGACTTGATTGCATTCAAATTTACATCATAGGAACGTAAATTTAAGGTGAAAGCCTTATTCGCTGGATTTGAAATTTTTCTAAAAGAAATATGCACTGGTCGCAACAGATTGGCAACTTTCCCCATATCGACGAGAAACGCTGAACAAATGCTCGGTTTTGGAAATATAGAAAGGGCCGTGTTTCCTGTACGGATGCTTTGGTCATTGAGAGCGCAGCTTTGATTGTTGGCACACTCTACAACATATTTAACGCCACTCCATTTTGTTCAATTCGATTAAGTTAACTTTAATTCATTTATGGTGCGAACATTAATTAGCAATATCATATTCCTGAAGTACCCACGTGTATCCATTTTCCCAGGGGACTAATTATCACTTCTTTTACATTTAATTCTCGTTCTGGGCACTATTTTTACCGGACTTGGAAATTGTGCGTTTCGATCATGGTACATACGTTTCTGTTGATTACCCGTCCTATAATAAATTGTTTGCTCTCACAAGAGCTGTAAGTTTGACTATCAAAAGACGGCATTGCTAGTTTTCAGTCGAAAATGTAGCGTTTGAATCTTACGTCAAACTTTATACAATGTCACTAATTTACATCTATCATAAAACTAGCTTAGCACCCCATTTAGATGAAAGGCCACAGAATGAGTAACAATTTTTAATCTGCGCATTTGTTGCAAATGTTTCTAAACTAATAATAATTTATAGAATTTAAAAATGTGTGCCAAATTCTACTTTTTTTTCGATTAGTCATGTTAAGAATACTGATAATCAGTTCGAAATAAACTGAAATAATCAAAAGTGTATATACTTTAAAAGTTCATACATATATACTTCGCAATACTCAAAGATTGCTTAAAGACTTAAACCTGTTTCCGGTAATATGCTCTCCTTTGTCTGTGGTGGACGCAAACACAAAAATTTAAGTTTTTATTGCATAACGCTAGAAAGACAGATTTCTACATAAAAAGCAGAGCCAAAGCTCGTTTACATTAACATGCAAAATCTCATATTAAACTTACCTCTGAAGTGACTATAAAACCGCCAGCCAAAGGCGATAAAAAAGATGCAGACATATGAATTGTTTGACAAAACGCCAAGACTTGGCCGGCTAAGTTGGGAGCAATGTCCACAATGTTAGCCATAGCACCAGCATATGATGCAGTTATGTATGTTACTGCAATAAACCATATAATCAATAGCACTACTATGTTGTTAATATAACCAATACTGAAAATTAAAATGCCAGGAATTATTTGTGAAAATGCTGTAAAAAGCTTGCGAATATTTGTTAAGCTCATGACTTCTTTTAGAACCATTTTATCAGCTATGCAGCAAAATACTACCGACGATAAATAAGAACATATGAATGGCATGCCAGAGAGAAAACCATTTGCTTGAAAAGGAAATTTTAAGATATTTGTCATGAAACTTGGACCATAGAAAATAAAAACGTAATGGATCCATATGCGCCCAAATGTCGTTATGCTAATAGCCCAGACCGGCAGCGATGTAAATATACATTTCCATGGCACTTTCATACCCACAGACTCTTTAACTTCGACACCAATATTCATTTCGATATATTCGAGCTCTTCATCCGTAATGCGCGGGTGTTCATGTGGTGTATTGTATGCCAGCATATACCACAAAAAACACCAGAGCATTCCTAGGGAGCCAGTCGTAAAAAAAGCATAGCGCCAACTGAAATTATCGATTATGAATCCACAAATCACGTACGTCAGCCCTATGCCAATGCTAAATCCTTGGAAACTCGACATGAACCGGGAACGCTCGGACAGGGGTATCCAATAACCGACTACTGCGTACATAGCAGGCCATGTCAAGCCCGAAGCAAATCCTTGTATACACCGTATTGCTATAACGACGCTATAATGTAAGTCGGCCGCAAATGGAATGCATAAACTTCCGAATGCAGTGGCAAACTGGGACCATCCAAAAACGTGTTTTGTACCAAAATGCTGAGCTGCAACACCGCCTACAACCTGAGATAGTACATAGCAAACAAAAAAGGAGCCTCCGATCACAGATTTAACAGTTGGCGACCAATCAAATGTATCCTGAAAAAATTCAACATTAATCATCGGTTATTTAAGCGAAAAAACCCGTTGTTAGCTGCACTTTTCAAACATAAGTATACGGGCTTTGACGAACATTCCTTTGTTTTACGTGTTTGCTAACAACGACTTTTCTAGCGAGAGTACAATGGTGGGTAGGAAATAGACTTACCCCACTAGCTAATGCAGATGAGAGCGTAGCGCTTTCATTTGTTTGGAATATTTCAGTTAGCCGCGTTGAATTCTTGGCTGTCATAGCAACTAATGCTATGTTTATATCGTTACGCATCATAAACGAGACCAAAAATCCTGAACATGATAGAAAATATAAAACAAACCGCGCAGGCACTTTGGCTACAAAAAACGAAACCAACAGAAAGTTATGAAACAAATCTATAAGATGTTAATGACATCACTTAATTTAGTTAAGGAAATTCAGCTGTGGCTAAAACACCTTCAGTCGAAGTACCACGTAAAAAAAGAAATAAGGGGCAAACTTTTTAAAATAGATTTACAACAGAACTATGCAAATCATAATAGTTTCATATATTTCTTATTTTTAATTCAAATAATAAAATACTTTAGACAAGGTTAGCAATAATCGAGAATACTCCCTGATTTACAAGTTTGATTTTCCTTTGTTCTCAAGGAGCATTCCTCTCTCTCAAATGCCCAACAATTGCTGTCGTTTTTTAGTCTGGTAAACACCCAAATGCTTTTCTATATTCATTATGAAGCAACTAATGTTATAAGTGTCATATCTCTCATATAACAAACACTAATCTGCTACGGAGCGAATAAATTTTACTGCCCGTTCTGATAAATTTTTTTTACTACATATGCTCTGCGAATGGCTGTAGAACCATGCAAAGTATAATCAACTTCCTTGTCCGAAGCTGTATCAACTTGTAGCTACTGCCACAGCGTTTATAGACCGCTGATGTCCGCCTTCTCTTCATACTTTGAAAATATTTTTATGGAAACATGGTCATATTTTTGCAATTCTTCTCGACTTGAGAAGATGCAGTTTATTAAATTTGTTCATTTTCTCACTAAATTAAACTTTGCGTGCACATACAAAAGTTTAACATCGTTCGTTTACTATAATCACATAAATTGACTTTGATTGAACGAACTGAATAAATAAAATGTATTTAAGAGTGGATGATAAAAGTCCGTCTGCTGCAAATACGCGGCTTTGTTGACATTCGTGCACACGACATGTCTCATGAAGATCTACAAAGCTTTTAGACCAAAATTTTAAATGATTTGTTATGGTAAATTTCGACGCCACAAAATCATGTGGCCGCTGAGAAACTATGAAATTGATTAGCCTAACGTTAATTTGCATAGCTATAACGAGTTTGGCCGTTGTACAGGAATTATCAGTGCAATGTCTACTGATCCTCTTGTAAAGCAGTAAGACAACCTATTTTTTCAAATCAGTTACAATTAAGCATTAATCCGATAACATCAAATTTATGTCAAAACGAGTAACCTAAAAGTATGAAATTTCGACCTATATTTTCTATTAACTTGCTAAACCACTGAGTTTAAAGTTCGTAGCGTGCCGTGCAATTGCTCAAAAAGACTTGATTATCCAATCCTTCTGTTTGGAGAGTCATCCTAAGTGAAAAACAACAAAGTTTAGCTTTTGAAATAAGCAAACCCTATGCCGTCTTTTGATTTACTTAACCGAATCTATCTTTTTTTGTTTCCTCATAAAGATGTATAGCCGATGTTGTTTATAATCACAAAATGTTTATCTTATATCTAATTTCAATTTCAAAGCCTACCGTTAAATTTGTGAAAAAGATTGGATTGTTGGATTTCTTCCGAAAAGCCTTCCTGAGTTACCAAATATTTTACATCGGTCGATCGGCTTTTTGCTGAATCATTCGCATTAGACATTTTTGGTTAATTCAATCGAATACGCAACTATCTTTGGCGAAGATTGATTAATGTATTTTTTTAACTTTTTTCTTTGCTACTGAAATATACTTGCATTGGCCTTTGTATTACGTCTTGATAGGCTCATTTTACAAATATCTGCAAATAAAAATCAAACAAAAGCTGTTATAACATGTAAATTTTAGAATGGGAAAAGGAGATTGAGATTTATTATGTTCACATTAGTATTATTAATTCATATTAGTATTATTTGTTTTGAGCCTTAGCCCACACATTGACTTTCTGTTGCATTTTCTAATTTATAAATTTTGGATTAATATCTGTTGACTTGTAAACTATATTTAGCAGCGAATATAATCCTCTATATATCAAACTACTTCGTTTTTCGTCGTTTCCTATGAAATAATTTTCAGTTCGTTTTGCTTACTTTTCATCTTATTCAATGTTGATTTTTGAAAGCTCATACGTTCAAGAAAAGAAAATAAAAATCAACCTTCAACAGATTATGGTTCAAGGAGCTAATTCGTGGTAGAAGAATTGAGTAGTGTAATTTCAATTGTGAGTGAAGTGAAGTGTTGCGAGGTGAAATTCATCAGAATTTCGAATGCGGAATAAGTTAATAAAGGTTCTGCTGAGAATTACTTCGACGCAAGTTTCAAGGTAAGAGTTACAAAAATACATATCGTGCAGAAAGCAAAAGCAACGAATATCTGCATAGCACAAGTATCAACAACAAAAGTGCAAATCAACGTTCAAATATGAGACGTGGTCTGGAGGGTGACTTTGCGGCACAATGAGTGAAGCGGCGGTGAAAGGAAAGGGTTAGCAGAATATCAATTACTTTAAAAATAGTTTGCAGCAAAAAACGAGAACGTTGTATCGTCAGTTAGTAGCTGTGGCGACAGCGGTGCGTCATCTAACGAGAGAAGAGAACGAAGAATATGAAGAGACAATTGTCGTTACAGGACATCAGAAAACGGTTATCAAGGGGAAAATTAGAGCAGTCATCATGGCGGAGCTATTTTGGGTGTAATGAAGGTCAATGATTTTCTTTTGTTTAAGGTGACAGCTGAACGGCATACAGGGAAAAAAATTGAATATTTCAAAACGGTACGGAGTTTGTCAACAAACTGTTTCATGGTTACTTGGAGCAAAGTAGAATTTCGCTGTAGTTCACAGTAATATATACGCCACGCCAATGGTGTATCAAAACCTTTCAATCGCATGCTAATTGCGATGACAGGGTAGATGCTGCTTATTGTTTGCATAGATCACATACCCAGCCAAGGAAATCATTTATATCAAGGAGTTGCAGAATAATTTCCTTGGCTTTTCATGAAACAGTTGCGATAACCGGAACAATGTAAATGCGGTAAGCCTTCTAAAAAAAACCAATCTACCAATGCGCGAGGCAAGCATATTTATTTAAACGAGCTGAGATTCGTCTAAGATACTACGGAGTTTGGAACATGGTTGCTGAAATTTCTTAGAAAAACCCCTACAAGCGTACTTCATGATAAGTTTATGAATTTGTGTTAGGCTAGTTATATTATCATATTAATAAGTTCCTTCAGAGGGAGTGTTGACTTGTACAACGAACATAATTGTTTACACGCCATATTATTTCTTTTCTGTTTTTCACTTGAAGACCCTTTTTAATTGTTTTCTTCGTTGAAACATTTATATTTAATAGAAGAAAAAATAAAGCTACATCCAAGAATATCCAAAAATGGATTTCGAATAAGACTTCTACTTTGTTTAGAACATTCGCACTGCATTTCGAAACTTATTTCATGCAACATAGTATTGAACATGCGGTATTCTAAGAAATCTTAAATATTTCATATCAGTACTATACATACATATATACATGTATGACCCACACTCAGTGCAACATAACCAGAAAATAAAATATATGTGCATATATTAAATAATAAACCGTAAACGTAAGATAATTAAGACCTTAAAGAACTCATATCTCATCAGATATAATGTCATAATGTTGATGATGATAGAAATTGTCGCAAAAACATCTTATAGAGGTAAGTCGATTGCAAAATATTGTTAAATATCTAAAGAAAAGATCACTGCCTTGCGAAAGAGAGGCAAGGTCTGGCTTAATGTCAATGATAGTTTTTTTTTTTTTATTTCCAAACGATATATTTGGCAAATTCACTTACGGTTGTGAATATAGAAGTATCTGAGGTGTGCCTATCACATACTCGGAATCATCCAGAATTTTCATACCTTTTTTTTTGTAGAGGAAGTATTTTCTAGAAGTAAAGTAAGAGTAACTGGGAAGAAGATATCTTAAGATAATAGAAGGTAAGTTCATAAAAATCCATGTCAGATTATAGCAGGTAAGATTTCATAATGTTTAACAATGGCTCGGCGTCCGAAAAACGGCAAGCAGGATCGAAAGCGAATACTTCATCAATTTACAATCACATTACTAAAGAAAGCAGCAGGTAGAAATCTAAAACTTCTGCAAAGGCTTTGTCTCCGCAAAAGGTATAAGCACATAGAGAACATCAGCAAATGTTGCGAAAATATGAGATATATTTACATTACATATAATATTGCAATCTTCTCAAGAATACTTGCAAAATCAATGCGTCATGCAATGCATAATACAAAAATTATTCCATTCATTGACCGATGGTACCATTTTGTCTAATAAGATGTAAAATGTTCTCAACAAAGTTTTTCTGATTAATCACATATTTTATAAAATCCTCTATCCAAATGATTCAAGATTTTATGTCTAAAGAAGCCATTTGTTTCAACTACAAGTTCTAGATTTATATTGATTTTGCCTGTCATTCAATTAAAAAGATAAGTTATGTATATTGGACTCACCAAGTTTTCTGATTTTTAATTTTTTTTTGCACCAATTTCACCTTTTTATTCGGTACGCTTGTTAAGTGTAAGTACATAGAACTTTTACAACTAATAATTCTACAGAAAAATAATTAGCGTAATTGATAGAGCGCAATAAGAACCGGTTTATTAGCCAAACATTTGCTTGCATAGTTCGACCCTGCAACCGTTTGAATGTTCATACCGTCATCGCCTTCTACTTCTACTTCCACTTACAATGTATAAGTATAAAACAATATCAGCTAGTACATGGACTTTGGCTAGTCAAGTAATTGTGGTTCATATTTTTGTAACAACCTCACCTCAACGGCGATGCGAAATACAATCTTTGTAATATATACTAAATTTACGCGGTTCACATAACATTTATCCTTCTTATGGGTAAACGAAAATGGAAAAAAAAATTGGACTTCACCTTAAAATTAATTTAAGGAAAAAGTATTATAACTTCTAAACACAGTTCAATCCACTTTAACGCGTTTATTGCCGGCATAGGTTGTTCTATTGAATCGCTATTTCGAAGAAATACTCTTTTATCTTAAACGTCAGAAAATCTATTTCACGCGCATCGGAGGATGTTATACTTATAGTTTAGTAAATGCTAATAAATACGCTACAAAAATTCGCAGTGTTGTTTTTTATTAATATTTTAACATCTGTTACAAATCAGGGTGTTATCACATATCTGAAAGTCAAGTTTCGTACGCGACCAATCCGATAATTGATAAACGTTGTGGTTCCGATCGCGTAAGGCTTTCGTCTCAATTACGTCTATATGTAAATAAAAAGCAGAAAAAGAATTAAACTTTTCTTTATATTTAATTGTGGCTGTCAAAATCCGAAAAAAACAACTGGTTCTTCTTTTTGACAAATAAATGAATGAACCAACAGTTAACGGACGGATATTTTTGAATAAATTGGAAAAAAAGAAAATATTGATCTTCAAAATTGATTATATGCTCACCACTCATATATTTTATACGAAATGAAAAATAAGTGAAATATGCCTGAACCTGTATAAGGAAGAAATTTGTCAATACATTGATAAATTTCCGGTGGCAACATTTAAAAATTTGCGACCTGAAAATCTAACTGTGGTTATGATTAAATCGAAGACATAATGTAATTGATAGAAAACGCTTTAAATGAAAGTTTGTCGACAAGGTTTTATGCCATTTTATTATGGCTTCAACAGTTCTTTATGTTCTAGTTGTGAAGCTTTATTTAAGTTGCTATTATTTTTAGTTTAGCTAATTATGGGGAAAATAAGTGGTAAAGATAAACAATAAATGTGCTTTAAAATATAACAGGTTTATTGGTATGATTGTCATTATTTAATAAAGAAAATAATATTAAATAATAGATATACAATAAAGGAACATATGTAAGTATTTTTTAATTTGTTTGTATTAATTGTTTTCAATGGTCATTGGTTGTGATTGCAGGTCACATTCCAATGAATAAATGATTGAACTGCAGCCTTCTATTGGGGACCATAGCGAAGAAGGGTACCGAAATTCGGAGTTTAGATTCAAGATTTGAATAGTGATACAATTTGCTCCGCTGATAGGGTTGCGCAATGAATATAACTTTAATGTGCAATTTACCATTTGTTTTAATTAATTGTTTTTTATATGTATAGAAGCTCTCTGAGAACGATATGTCAAGTACAACTAAAAAGCTGGAGTGATATGTGATTTACTATACAAAGAGTTTACCATTTGTTTTCTCTTTGTTAAGTCCAACTGGCAAAATGATGGTCAAGAAAAAAAGGCGTTACCTGACACACGCGATTTGCTACACAAGCAAATCGATAATGAAAGACGCTTTCAAGAGGTAGTCCAAGAATTATTAAGGAAGAAATTCGACAACTTGTGTAAAATTTTTGGTAAAACGAAATGAAGCGAAATAATTTCATATAAATTGTCTAATTTCATATTGTAATTTCTTAAGAAAATTTTGAATTATGAACTTGAACTTTAAATTTTACAAAGTGTACAATCTTTTGAAATAAATTGTAAGCTAGTTCTCGTTTTGTATTAAATAAGTAAATCCAACTTTTTAATTATCACATCTTAAAGCGGATTTATTCTTCATACTTTTGTTTCAGTAGAATTCAATTTGAAAACACAGAGGATATGTTACTTCTTATTTCCTTACCTATTCGTCTCAGCTTGAAGGCCTTTAGCCCAACATGGACACCATCTTCGAAATAGCTCCCCTGGACTCAGAAAATCAAGGTTTACTGCCGCAATTGTTACTTGGTCGCAAACCTCAGGAAAAAGATACGTGCATGTATGTAGATTAATTCACCACCATTCAGCCTATGATAGCCTTTTCGGTTTATGTAACGGTCTTCATTCCATGCGTTCCATGCATTCCACAGTAACCCGAAGGATAATTACGTACGTGTGTTAGCGTTTTCGCTTTTGGGTATGTTTGCATTTTCTGTATGTTAACCGCTGTTTGACATCAACTTTCGTTTTTTTCGTGGATTATTTATAGACAACAGAGCTGCGTTATAAGAAAAACCAGATGTAGTAGAAAAATGAGAACAAAAACATATTTTTCGTCCATTTGGTATACAAATAGCCGGAAGAATAAAGACGTAAGTTATTTTGCTAAAAAACTTAGAACTTAAACTTTTGTTGGCTTTGTGCAAATTATAGCTAATCGGGACTTATAACCTATATCTCATTGATGTCGTTCATATCTCCTAAAAACAAAATAACTTATTTACAAATCAAAGTAAAACAAAACAGAAAATTATTAATCAAAAGGATTGAATCTGATCTGAAAGATAAATTATATATTGTTAAACGTCGTTTATGGTTATTCAATATATAAATATTAGGCAGAATGTTTCCCCACCTGAGTTCAATAGAGGCCATTCTGACTTTTATTTCGTTACTGCTTACAATTAAAATTTAATCATTTCCACTCGCATAGTGGATGTTTGTTTTATGGCGATGACAAATAGAACATTATAGTTTTGTGCTTCTATTATGTAATATCATGTACTTCTATTAAATAATAACAATAATACCGGTAAGTTTACAATGTGTAACGTCCGCGTACAAATATAGTGTAGAGGTTCTGTCGGCTGCTTTGACCACTACTTTAGCACAATAGAGTAAGTAAGATCGTAATAACGGCCTGTCGTTATTCGAAAGCACATTTTTCAAGAATAGCGTTATGCAAAGAGAAAAGCAGAGAGATCGATCTGGAAATGATTTTTGACGCTTTTGCTAAGTAACATCTGCAGCGCAAAGTTTGGTTAAATAAGAAGAGAAAAGATTTTTTTGAGCGATAAGTGAATAATGTAGAAAGTTATTGGAAAAAGATGACATTTTTTTTGTAAAACAAATGGTAATGAAGTATGTAATAAAGTATTATGAAAAGTTTTAGCAAAAAAAAAAATGTTTTATAATAAAAAAAAAGAAAAATAGAAAAGATTTATTAAAAAATGACACAAATATAATAACTTGACAAAGTATACGCTATAGAAGTAAAGAAAAGAACAAAAAAACTACAAGGGTAAAGAATTGTGTTTAGAAGAGAAATTAAGTAAATAAAATAAAGAATTTGTGAAAATTATTTATAAAAACTCAAGAAGTTGCTAACAAAAAGCTTTCGAATTAGAAATTTAATTATGTACGGCTAAAATTGTTCAGATTTTCACATTACAACTACAACTACTTTGTTGATATAATAATGTCTGTTTAATAAGAACAAAAAGAGAAAGAAAGCAAAAAAAAGGAAATGGTATTAAAGAAAAAACTAGCGATGAGAAAAATTATAATATAACAAATATACTGTATCAGAAATATATATTGTATCATAACATGAAATAAACTGATTTGATTGAAAGAAGTTTTAATTACTACAAGGAAACTCCAGAAAAAAATCTTCAAGCATTTTTCGATGTGAATTCAGCTTTAGTCAAATTAGATAATCTAATTAGACCTGCTGCGTTCCAACCGGTTGGAAATACATCAGCCGACAAACTATTCAGTGCTGCTATTATTCCATCAAAATCAAATATTTTTCAACAACAGCAACCTTCCGAACTATCCATAAGTCAACTAAAACCGTAACATGAGCCCAGATCCGTGGGCACCTATCGTTAACTCAAATTTAGAAGCCGCCCAGAATAATAGCAATATACCGTGGGTAAAGACATAGTGGCATCGAGTTCATTCTTGTCATTAATATATAAATGGTAAGCTAAATTTAAGAACTTAGCTTTGGATATCCATTGTAACTTTTTTAAAAATTTTCATTTACAAATCGAGCAATGTATAAATAAAACAATTCCTAATTGAATACTTTCATACATTTTTTCAAACCCATAAATCGAACAAAGAGAATAAGGAAAAGTCTAGACAATAATGAAAAGACATTTGTAGCAAATAAATAATGTAATCAGTTAAGACGACAAAAAAGACAAAAATTAAAATTAAAAATGCCTGGCTAAAATTGCTTGGCTAAGCGGTATACCCTACCACTGAAGCGGGGTATGGGTGGGTATGCGTACGAGTGAGGGTAAGGAGACAGGGAATGTACACTGACGGACTAAGAAAGGACCAACGAACAGCGAACAGTACAGACAACAGTCCTCATCGACGAACTTAACCCGTGAGCCCGGTCACACTGTGAAAATTCCTTAAGGGTTTGGTTAGACTCTTCTTCTTTGTTTCTTGTTTTCATTTAAATTTTTTTTTTTGTCACGCGGCACAGTATGCCGAATATTTAGTAAACGCTTTACCGCAAAAGGAGCTTTGTCGCGACAAATGTTTTAAAGTACATTTACTAGTAATGTTTTATCGATTATTTCTACCATAATTAATTAAACTAAGAGACAAAGGTTTACACTAAAAAAAAAGGGATTTAAACGAAGACGAATAATTTTATTTATTTAACTAGAACAAACAAAGTAAATGTGTACCGTTTAGGCCAAACTTTTCAAAACAAAAGATCTTCTTCAGGAGTGTATACTTATCGCCTGAATATCAACTAGATCCATAATTGTTAGTATTATGGCTGATGTGCATATCATTTTAGTACTAAATGCGAAACAACAAGGGTCTAAGAAAACACAAACACACGAAAAATGTTGCTTGCGGTATATGATTTTTTTCATCTAGCGCTTTACTTGTAGTTGCCGCTGCTTCGGTTGGTGTTAGTTTGCGACCTTTTACAGCTTTTATAATAACTCTGGCTACTACTTCAGTAGTTTTTTGACAAATTTTAGCTTTAATTCTTCACAACAAATTTCACTTTTTTTTTGTTCGCTCGTTTATTTTATCAGAGACATGAATTAACGGTTACTTTTGGATCTTGACAGCCGTAAGTAAATATAAAGATAAATTT